CCAAACACATCGACATCGATTGTCATTTTACACGAGAGAAAGTTCTTGAAGGCTTAATTCAGCTCTCCTATCTCCCTACCACTAATCAACTTGCTGATGTTCTCACTAAGATTCTGCCTGCTGATAAGTTTCAGATTTTGTTGTCCAAGCTGGGCATGGTTTCTCCTACACCCAGCTTGAGGGGGGGCGTGAAGGATCAAGCTGCGCAGTCAGCTTACACTTCTAACCACTTGGTGCCACCTGTCATTTCTAACTAATTTCCCTTGTTTTTTGGACTTTCTGTTTGATTAGTTATGGTAGTTTATATAGCTAGTTTCTTCCTCCCCGTTAGGGCAGATTTTCAGAGACACATTTGAGCTTCAGTTTAATGGAATTTTCCTGCGTTTGTTTTACAATTTCATCTTCTCCAATGAAATTTAACAACTCTTTTAGCTTATCGGCAATGGATGGAAGCTAATTCAATGAGCATAGTCAAATAAGTAATATTTGGTAGAAAATGAGATTGAAGCGCCAAATATATCATTCTACCAAACGGGCATTAAATCCACTTTATTGCCATCTGTAAACATATTAATCAAAGAAAAGTGTTTCTATTGGAATGCTGACTAAAATTGATTCCTATTTAATTTCATGAAAAAAAGTTTGATGTTCAATGGCAGCTGATGATGTATAGTCTATTACTCACGAAAAAATGAATTAGCAGATATATGATACAAACACAGAAACATGAGAAGAGGGAGAGAGAGAGAGAGAGAGAGAGACGTTATAAGTTTAACTCCAGATTGTAGACAAAGCTCTGCCATTTTCTGTTGAGGACGCATATCAACTATTGAATGTTGCACCTACAGAAATTGACAATATTATCCTGAGCTAATTAAGTTGAGCAACAAATGCAAAATATTGAGTACAACATACAAATAAATGTAACACTTGATATGATACATCAAACCTGATTGCTAACAACTGGGATGCCATTTTCCAAGATTATATGTAATCTCTCGGTGTCAAAGTTGGTTAAAGCAACCGTCTTTATCTTACCTGTATAGCAGAGACACCATAATCAAATGTATTAACAGAAAAAGATTGAATTGGTGTGTGATGTGCAGAATGCTACAAGATCATAAAACAACTAACCTTCTTCTTTCAGATCTGTTAGATGCTTCAATGCATCTAGGTACCCAAGATTCGAGTAATCCCACCTGATACATATGGTAATGAAATGTGACATATGTAACATATACTCCGTATTAATATAAGTGGCCTTATAGCAGCAAGAGATTATTGGCTAAACCTTAATAAACGGATAAATTTGAGGCAAACCGAAAAGATAATTTTGTTATTATTACATGTTCCACTACTACATTACTTGCAGCTAAGAGTAAAGACAATCACTACCAATGAAATTGAAGCATGTCCAGAGATGCAACATCCATTCTCTTCCTTGAAACATCAATGTTTTGTCTAACAAAGCTACTGGTCATTTTCACAGGTGGTGGCACCCATTTGGTAAGGCTGCATTGCACTTTGAATGATCAGTGAAGCCAACTGCTTCCATGACAAAACAATAAGATTCTAATTCAGCAAAGCCATTGCAAAGTACTACACTTCTTTAACTCACCCTCTTACAGATTCCAGATACTCTGGAGGACGCTCTCGGCGAACTCTATTGATGAAGATGCCAAAAAGATCTTCTGCTGGTCCATCTGCACAAAAAATCACAATTTCTGTTTTGAATAATGCTCATTTCATTTAGTCTTATTATGTTATCCCAAACTCTTTCTCCTCTCTTTTTTTTCTTTGTCCCACAAAGTTCTTCCCATTTTCTAAAAAAACCCACTTTTACCTCCTAATAATTCTCACCCGTCCTATCACATGACATCCTACTTTTAGTCATCAGCATTTTTAGAAATTCAACACTAATATGAACTCCCTTAATTCTTTAAAAGTGGAATTTAAGGGACAGAGGAAGTATATGAGTATCTATAATAATGGAGATAGAGAAGGGTACAGTGGTCGGCCATGTCGAAGGTAGTGAGGCCAGCATCAGCGTGTTTGAGCATCGCCTCAACGGCGTCGTTTCTGTCGATTCTTCCCCAGCCGCCGCTAGTCTGCCACATCCCGTTCAGGATTCTACATATATCCAGAGAATCATTGCCGTTCTTCAGCGTCACCGTCCGGTCCTTCTCCGCCACGGCCGTGCAGCACCTCGCCGCCGCCGCTCCTCTCGGATTCCTCCAACCACCTCCGCCGCAAGTCCGCCGCTTCGCGCCAATCTTAGACGCAGAGAAGCTCGAAGAAGCGAAAGTGATGGGAGGAAAAGTGGAAACAGAGTGCGGAAGAGAAAGTCCAGTTGCTGCCATTTTGGATTTTGAAAGCAAAATGAGAGATTTCTGAACCTTCTGGAGAAAGAAAGTGTGTAGCTCCTCCTTCCCAAGCTTATTTTTCTTTTTGATAATCTCGCATAAATTTTAAGAATAAAATTTTCATTCCTGTCTCAACGTCAAAAACCTTCTTTCATGAAAATATTTGAACTTTTACTATCTTTTCATCAAAAAGTCAATTTATCCATTACAAAGAGATCAGCAAGTCATTTTGAATCAAATTCAAAAATTAGAATTTTTATTTTTTCACATTGATCCCTATTTCTTCTTTTTCTTCTCCTTACAAACCCATAATTTATACTCCCTCCGTCCTAAAACTTTCTTCCCAGAGCACTATTCCAACTTCACGGGAATTTATATTTATTTGTGTTTTTTCATGGCCTATATGATAAAATAAAATATTCTTGTCATCACTTGTTTTGTTGAACTTTTGATGTAGTTTTCAAATATGTATGTTTTATTTTTTATTTCTATACCAATATTTAAATAAAATAGATTGAAAAAATTTAGGATTTTTCTTCGTTTTGCGCAACGGGAAGAAAGTTTTAGGACGGAGGGAGTATTCTTTTTTTTCAACTCATTCCCCTTTCTTTTTCCCCACTTTTCTTCTATTTTTTTTATCTTTTTCTTTCTTTTCTTTTTTCATATTCGCTATTTTTTCCGCCTTTTCTTGTATTTTTCTTTTGATCCTTTTTTAATTCTTTATTAATTTTTTTTATTCATTTTCACTTTTTATCATTTATTTCCTTTTTATTTCAATTTTCTTCATTCTGTCCTCTTTTTTTATTTTTTCCTTTTTAAAAATATTTTCACTTTTTTAATTTTCTCTATTTCTTTCCGTTTGCTATTTTTTTCTTTAGTTCTTTTTTGAAATCTTTATTTATTATTTATTTCTTTTTCGCATCTTCTCATTTCTTACTTTTTTTGTTTTGTTTTGTTTTGTTTTGTTTTTTGTTTTTCTTTCTTTTTTCCTTTATTTATTTGTTTCGTTATTTTGTTCTCTATCTTCTACATTTTTTGTTAATAACAGTGTCATTTTATATTTAATCAATTAAATTTAATAAAAAAATCAAACCATACGCCTTATTTTTATTATTTTGGCCTTTATCTTTTATATTTTCTGTTAATAATTGTGTCATTTTATATTTTATCAATTTAATTTAACAAAAAAATCAAACCATACGTCTTAATATTTTGTAAACAATTAAACAAAACAAGTGAATAAAATAAGACCTTAATAAATAAATAAATAATGAAAAAAATAAGCCAAGAGAAATTTTTTGATCTTATTTGTTTTTTTTTTGTTTTTGATCTTTATTATTTTTTATCTTTTTTTGATATTTTAATAATATCAATTTGTTTGTCTATGTGTTATTTTTTGAAATTTTTTTAATATATTTTCTGTATTTGCTTTGCTTTTTTTATTTTTAAATATTATTTTGTCTTATATTTTTTGTTTGCTTTCAATTTTTTGTTGGTTATTTTTATATAATAATTTTTTCATAAAAATGAAGTAAGAGTTTCTAAAAAATTTTGTTTGTTTTTTAAAATTTTCTCTTGTCTTATTTTTTTGTTTTTTGCATTTTTTATGTATTTATTTAGGACTAATTTTATCCACTTGTTTAATTTAATTGTTTACAATAAGGATTAAAAACAGACAAAAAAAGTTAACAAACAAAAAAAATCAAATAAAAAAGAAAAAAAATTAATACATATAGGGTCAATGTGAAAAAATAAAATTCTGATTTTGCTATTTTGCCCAAAGTGACCTGCTGGTCACCTAGTTATGAGTAAGTAAACTTTTAGTGAAAAGTTGGTAAAAGTTCAGTTACTTTTGTTAAAGGTTTTGAAGTTCATGTGCTAAATCAAAACTTTCGTGAAGGTTGAGCTACTATTCTTAAAATTTATCCCGATAATCTCCTAAATTTTCATCACAATTTACTCTTGAGGATTGTCTCTAATTCCGTTTATCAACTTTGATTAGTTTCCTATTGCAAACTATTGTACTAGTGTACTCTATAAAATCTGAACTTTTTGAACAACAAGAGAGTATTTATACACCAAATATGAACTAATGATCTTATGTACAAGGAATCAGATATGCCTGATTGACTCCCTATAATTGAAAGAGAATACACAGCAAAAGGATAACTAATACTAAATATTACGGAGTAACACACTAATTATCATTAACACATCACCGGAAGATCGACGTGTTGTCAGCTACTCCAATCTTGGTTCGAAACTTCGAAAAAGAGTAGCACCCAAAGGTTTTGTGAGGAGATGAGCCGGTTGCTTAGAGGACGGTATGTGACAAACATGCAATCGATTGGCAGCAACAAGATCACGAACAAAGAAGTAATCAAGAGCCAAATGTTTCATCTGGGCATGGAAAACAGGATTCTTGCACACATAGGTAGCACCCAAATTATCACGGTAAAGAACCAAAACATGTGTAAGAGGAAAGCCAAGCTCCTACAAAGATTCTGGACCCAAAGAGTTCAGCCGTACCATGAACAAGAGCACGATATTCCGCTTCAGTAGAGGACCTAGAGAACGTTTTCTGCTTAGCAGACTTTCAGGAGATCGGACTAGAACCGAGATAAATGATGTAAGCAGTGGTTGATTTTCCACCATCCTGAACACCACCCCAGTCGGAATGAGAGAAAACAGTTAACTATAAATGCATCCTTGCTCCTAAAAACAACCTGTACGAAAGAGTCCCAACAAGATAACGCAACACACGCTTTGCTGCTTACGAATGAGTCACCGTAGGAGCATGCATATCCTTTCACATATTTTATCATCATCACATGAATATCCAATCACGGGATAAAAAAGAAGTTGGAAATTTTCAAAAAAGAAATAATTTATTAAAAAAGATTACTTTCTAGAAAAAAGAATTGAAAAACAACAACAACCCAATTACATCTCACGAAAGTAGGGTCTGTGAGGATGTGTGTACGCAGACATTGCCCTTACCGGAAGTAGAGAGGCTGTTTCCTAGAGACCCACGGGGGTCAGAACATATGCATGCGACATAGAGAGCACAAATACAATACTTATAAAAGAAAAAATAAGACATATCGTTAGCAAGATTTAGTTTTTAACAGCTTGGTTCGATTTTCAAACACTTTAGCCGAAAACAAAAACGGAATAAAAATGGTCCACTTTGGTTTTAGTTTTTTCTGTTTGATTTTTATTTTGACACAATTCAATTGATCTTAGGGGTTCTTGCTTTCTGGTTTTTTCGTATCCAATCCTAAATTTTTTTTCTTTATTTTACTCCTATTTAAAGGTAATTTCTTCTTAAAAGTAATGAATTATTCCCTCGCTTTTATAGCGTTAAAAAAGAAAAAGTAAAAAATAATTGGCTGACCAATCATTCGCTATGTGTTAACTGTTAAAAAAATAAATGACGAATTATATGGCGGGGGATTAAGCAAGTGCAAAAAAGAACACTTGTCACGTCATAAAATAAAAATCAAAGCGGCAAGTGACTAAAAAGTGAGGTGGCAAGAGGAGTAATGTCTTAAAAATATGTGAATCGTTGGAGCGATGATGTCATTTATTAAATTTGAAAGTATTGGCGTAAAATATTTCTTATTTTGATTTTTTAGTCAAACAGTAACACTCTTTGACCATAAATTAATCATAGTCTAAACTAATAAATGTTATCCGGGAGTATAAAAAATTGATATATCAAAATTACGGAGTATATCTTTAGATGAACCCAATTAGGAGTATATAGAATTTTTATTATAATTAAATTTACTTTTCTCCTAATTTATAGTCAAAGAGTGTCACTGTTTGAAAAAAAATTAAATAATTAGTTAAAACGTACAAATAAACAATAGTTTCCGTAATTTCTAAATATTAAAGCGTGTAATTTATTTTCAGACGGAGCAAGTATAATATTAAAAAAAGATTAAATATGCTTTTGGTCCTCCTATGGAAATTTTTACTTTTAGCCATTCTAAAATATTTTTATCAAATCATCTCTGTAAAATATTTGTTTTTGTAAATAACTTAGAGTTAAATGTTAAAATTTAAATTAACCAAAAACAAAAATACTTTTTATTTAAAATTTTTTAAAGGGACCAAAAATAAAACCACAAATTTTCTAGGGATTGAAAGCAAATTAAACATTAACTCTAAACATAAAGAAATAGTGAAAGGGTTACTTGCAAAATAAAATATTTTATAAGGATGACTTAATAAAAAAAATATTTTAAAGTGACAAAAAACAAAAATCATTTATTTTAATGGAACTAAAAGCATATTTAAATCATCAAAAAATAAAATTATTTTTGGAAGTGGCAAGATTATTTCTTACTCCTAAAATGTTTCCAATTGAACATTCAAGAAGCGTTCGGCTCATAATCCCTCAGATGCAGACACCATTTTAGCTGCCAAATTGCTTCTGGAAAAATTTCTCAATCTTCTGTTCTTCATGTTCTTTCTGCCATTTCTGCCTCTCATCTTCTCGATCTAATCGACCCTCTGCTGTTACACCCTCTAACTCACTCTCCAGTGCTGCTGCGGTAGGAACGGGTCGGATATATTCTTGCTTGAAATTCGATTCTCCGAGTTCTAGTTCTTGAACTCCAGGAATGGTATTATCTTCCTCCATTGTGGGGTCAAAGGTATATCCCTTTGCCGTTTCCTTTCCAAATTCAAATGCATTTTCTTTCAGACATTTTCACATACATGCGGAAGGCAATATTCCAGCGAAGATTTTACCCACCAATTTGTCCTTTGGGCTCGGCAAAACCCATCTGTGTTCTTCCCTGTCATTGAAGACTTCATCAGTGCGCTTTTCTTCGTTTCCATTGAACTGTAATGGTTCGCACTCAGTTGCAAAGACAGGATCTGAGCACCCGTTCTTCAATAGCCTTAAAAATGTCTCTGTGGAATCCATAAAATCAAGACTTTCCCAATTGACCCCCCTTGACCTGTGCAAGTGGTCTCTGGTGTTTTCATTGGCAATTGCAGCTTCAAGATGGGCTGCGGGCTCGCTCGTGAACCCATTCTTCTGGATGTACTTCAGCTGGTCATGGGTGTTCTGGCCTTGGATGGTGGCAATTGGGATTGCCATGTATGGGCTTTATTGCCTCAGAAAGCATTTGCGCGGCGAAGCCAAGGAGTTTGAACAACTTGCCATTGTCACCGCGGCTTTTACTTGGCTAACATTAGTCCCACCTGCTCACTTCAATGGCTTTCTTGAGGGATGGCCGGTTGTGTTCTTTTTCGTGTACCATTATTTCTTTTTCCTCAATGTGAGTGTTAGGAAGCGGCTTTATGGGGATTTGTTCCCAAGAGAGCATGATCCCAAGTGGGACATTAGCCTTCCCAATTGGCAGAAGCTTTTATTCTGTGGCGGTGTTCTTCTTGGGCATTGGCTTGCAGCGTTTGAAGGACCGGAGTTGCACCTCATTCCCGGCGGGTGGTGGATCAATGCAGGTACGTGGGCTTTGATCATGGCGACGATATTCATGCAGTATCATTCAACCCTGTACTTGGCCAATTACTCCGAGAAGGTAGTGGTCCCCACTGCGGTCGTGCAGTTTGGCCCTTACCGCATCGTTCGTCATCCCATCTATGCGTCAACCATGCTCTTGTTCGCTCTGTTTTGCATCACGTTGAGGGCTCCTTTGAGCACTCTCTTTGTCATCGCGGTTTGCCTAATGTACTACGGCGAAAAGGCCAAACTGGAGGAAGCCTTGATGATTGGGACATTTGGCGAGAGATTCTTGGAGTATGCCGGGAAAGTTAAGTATAGACTCATCCCCTTTGTTTATTAGTTTGAGATGACATAATTAACCTCTTGTTGGACCTTCTATGTGCAAGATGGTTCATGATGCTCCAGAAAACATTGTACTTCTGGTTTATGTGATTTCCCATATACATTTATTCTAATGGTTTTATCCCTTTTCTTTCTCCCTCATTGCTACATCACAAGCTGCAGCTTAGTGAATTTGAACTTGGTTTCTAGCCTGTTTGCAGTGGAATTTTTATGACCTTTAGAAATATATTTCTAAAATTTACTCCGTATATAGTTTCAAAATGTTGCACATCACCCCTGCCGACTATTTTTCCATTCACTTTTCTGGGAAGAGTATTGGGCAAATTTACATCGAAATGAGAGATTTGGGCAAATTCACATCTAGACCGGTTTGACAAAAAGTTTGACCTGCAGAGTTTCTTAACTCTATTGGTAGGAGAGCGTGACTTGGTTTTGCTTATCTAGTGAGACACGTGTCCGGTTAACCTACTAGGTAGGTCGTTCCTACGTAAAAGTGTCGGCACGGCACGAGTAACTCCAAGGATGGTTGGACGGTAGCGACCGAATTCCACGAAAGATTGCGGTGAATTTTCCAACATTCTCGTCCAAGCACTACGCACCAAGGGAGTTGCCATAAGCACAAGCCGACAAGGGAATGAGACAAATGCTACAGGACAAAAGGAAGTTACATTGAGCCGTTCAAGCACGTTGTTTGACGTGGGCACCCTTTGTCCTGGCCTCTAGCCATAGTATAAATACTGATGTAAACCCTCAGTGTTGGTGATTCGAATTTTTTATCTCTCTAGAGCACGTTGTGTAATTCCTCCATGTACTCTTCACACACTTAATAACAATTGGACTACGGGTGTTCTACCTACAGTCCTCTCAGTCAATCTTCATCTCGTGAGTCACAGTAAACTACCCTAGACCCGATCTAGAGTAGTTTACCCGGGTGGTAATTTACACCATCAGGTTTCTTTAAAAATTCTTACATATTTATTTGTGTGATCATTTAATTAAGTGATTTTGTAACATTTTCCAACTCCTAATTTTTTCTAACTTCTTTTGGTCTCTTTTAATTCCATCTAGTTTTTTTCCAACATACAACTTTAGAATTCTAACCGAAAAGAACAGCGTCATAACTACGTTTTAAGCTTTCAATAAAAGCGTTATTTGTATGTTTTTTCTTTTTTTCATTTCATTTTCCATTCTTTTTAAAACCGTTATTTGTATGTTATTTCAATAAGTTATTTTTTTCAAACCCAAACATTTTTGAAATTTTAAAATATGATAAAGATTAAATTTAAAAAGAAATTACAAGGGAAGGGAAAATAGGATAGTAAGCGGTGATGCCCCTTATGGTTTGTAAAATAGGCACCAATATCCTCCCACTTCGTCGAAAAAAAGAATGTTTACTTGCTTATCCTCTTTTGGGCATTGATTCTTGAAATGCCCCACCTCCTTGCACTTCCAGCATGTTACGCCTGAGCTATCTCGAGTCTTCGATTGACTCCTTCGTCTATTCTTGCTCCCACTACCTCTGTTATTTCTTCTACCTCTGACGATATTTAGTGATTCTCCAGAAGACTCACCAGAACTCCTTCTTCTGACATCTTCGCCAAGAACGAGATCACGAATCTTCTCAAAAGTGAATCGGTCAGGTCCCGCTGAACTGGTAACTGCTGTAACAGTTCCGGACCAACTGTCAGGAAATGACGATAACAATAGTAAAGCTTGAACTTCATCATCGAACTTAATGCCCACTGACAAAAGTCTGGCTAAGATCGAATTTAACTTGTTGATATGCTCGGTAACTGAAGTGCCTTCTTTCATCCTTGTGTTCACAAATTCTCTAATCAGAAACACTTTGTTTGCCGCAGATGGCTTCTCGTACATGTTAGACAGTGCTTCCATGATGCCTTTTGCTGTCGTCTCCTTCAGAATGTTGAATGCAACATTCTTGGTCAACGAGAGTCGGATCACGGACATTGCTTTCCGATCCAAACCTGCCCAATCTGCATCTGACATCTTTTCTGGCTTGTCACCTAATACCACGTCCAAATCTTTCTGAACCAACAAATCTTCAATTTGCACTCTCCACCAACTGAAATCTGTACCATCGAATTTCTCAATTCGAAACTTCCCATCTTCTGTCATCTCTAACGACAAGATGAGATACCCGGTACAACTAATTTCAGATCTTAATATTTTTATGAGATAAGATATCTAGGACACAAAAAATGAACACCACCCACAAAAACAATCACCCACGTCCAAGACCAATTAATTACTCCTAGCCCACCATTATCTCCAAACTCCACTCACACCACCCCAAAATCAACTCCACACCAAACAAATCCAATTAAAAAAAACTTGGGCCACCACCTTGCAAATCACGGGTGGCTCTTTCCTCCCTTTTTTTGCACCTTTTCCTTTTCGTCCCTTTTCGCACAGTCACACCTCACCTTCTTCCCCTTGGCAGCGCACTTCCGCAGGGGAACAGGAGGGTGGCACGGTTTTGGACTCTGCACGGCGAAGACTTCCAGGACGGTGGCGGCGGCTCCTTCTCCCGCTACTCTTGCGTGCGGCGGCCTGTACGCAAACAACGGCGGCGATCTGGTCTGACGGCGGTGGCGCGGCTTCGCGACGGCTCCTCAACCTGGCGGCGGCAACTCCTCAACGCGATGGCGATGGCTTGGCAGACCAGAGCTGCACCTTTTCGCGTGGCTAGTGGCGGCAGCGGCGAGTCTCCCGTGACTCACTCCCTGCTGCGGCTCTCCCGATTCAAGTGCGGCAGCTCTTCGTGGGGATCAACGTGGATGGTGGTGCTCCGGCGGCAGCGCCCCTCACTCCGGCCCCTGATGCTGCACCAGGTTTTTAGGTGACACTCCTCTCTCTGATTAGTTTCTGCTGATCAGATTTCCGGTGTGTTAGCGAACCAAAGCTCCGATGCCACTTGTTGGGATAAACGCACGCGGAAACAACACACGATCACGAATCAACTGCAGAAAAATAAACGACACAAGATTTAACATGGTTCGGTCGCCAACTGCAACCTACTCCACACGGGGCAACTAGGAGGATTTTATTTCATTGTTGTTGCACCACAATTACAAGCACATTAGCATCTCTTAAATAGAGATTAGTTAGGGAGACAATGATTAATCCGTAAGCTTCTAGGTAGCGTTCTGTCAATTTCCTGTTAGCTTCCACCTAGCTTCATGGCTTCACACTCAACACCTTTGTCCTCGCCTCTAGCCATAGTATAAATATTGATGTAAACCCTCAGTGTTGATGATTCGATTTTTTTATCTCTCTAGAGCACGTTGTGTAATTCCTCCATGTACTCTTCACACACTTAATAACAATTGGACTACGGGTGTTCTACCTACAGTTCTCTCAGTCATCTTGATCTCGTGAGTCACAGTAAACCACCCTAGACCCGATCTAGAGTAGTTTACCCGGGTGGTAATTTATTACATATTTATTTGTGTGATCATTTAATTAAGTGATTTTGTAACATTTTCCAACTCCTAATTTTTTCTAACTTCTTTTAGTCTCTTTTAATTCCATCTAGTTTTTTTCCAACATACAACTTTAGAATTCTAACCGAAAAGAACAGCGTCATAACTACGTTTTAAGCTTTCAATAAAAGCGTTATTTGTATGTTTTTTCTTTTTTTCATTTCATTTTCCATTTCTTTCTCCTTTATTTTATTTCCTTTGTCTATTTTTTATTTTCTTTTTGCACAAAAAATTAAATTATGTGACTTGAGAAGATGAAGCTAGTAAATCATAATTTATTTTTACTTCTTCGATCCATAAATAAAGTTTTCATTCATTATTCATAGGGTCAAACTTTATTCACTTTGTTGGCTTAGTTTCGTGTCCTATTTGATAAAATGATATAGTCATATTACTTCTAGTTTGGTAGATCTTTTTATGTAATTTTTAAATATGTAATTTTTATTTTTTAATTCCATACCATTTTTCATATAAAATGATTTGAAAATAAATTTAGTCAAATATTATAATGCGCACCGAGATTTTTATTTATAGATGAAGGGAATAAGTTATTTTTTTCAAACCCAAACATTTTTAAAATTTTAAAATATGATAAAGATTAAATTTAAAAAGAAATTACAAGGGAAGGGAAAATAGGATAGTAAGCGGTGATGCCCCTTATGATTTGTAAAATAGGCACCAATATCCTCCCACTTCGTCGAAAAAAAGAATGGTAAATAGTAGGAGGAAGTGTCTATGCAACATTCTAATATCATAAAGATTTCAGAGATGAGTTATGAAAATAAAAGAATATTAATATTTCTTTTTCCAAACCACAAAGGCACTAGAGTTATTTGACATTGAAATATAGTACTCGGTATTATTAGATAATAAAAAGTATTTTTGTAACTCTAACAATGTTCAAATGAAGTCTTTTTTTTAGATGTACACATAAAATCTTAATAGAACAAGAACAATTCTCCAAAGGAAATATTATGGTTTAAATGTTAAGCATGTGAACTAATAATATCCTCCCATTCCTATTTTTAAAAGGGTTATTCTTAGAAGATTCTAGTTTAAGAAATCACTCGAGTAAAATATAGAAAAGGTATTTAAAAAAAGGAGTGCCATGTTTTTTTTAAATAAAAGTTCGCACTGTGGTAATGTGACACTATACATGAGCATTTTACTATACTTTCTAATTTCTTTTGGAGAATTGTTCTTGTTCTACTTGGCGAAAGAGCAGCTCCCGCCGCCGCCGCCGCCGCTGCCGCCGCCTACTACCATGAACTCCTCCGGCGATAACCAGCGATGCAAGAAGAGGAAGAAAGTTTTGACGCCAGAGATGCAATTCCGTTTAAGCCTCGACCAGTGCTCCAAAAACAAAGACCTCGCCGCCGCAATCTCCCTCTACGACGCCGCCGTCTCCCAACCATCCTCAATCCGCCTCTCAAACCAACATTTCAACTCATTCCTCTATATTTGCTCCAATTCCGTTTCCAATCCGGAAACCAAGCAGTCCGCAATTGAATTTGGTCTCCGTGTATACGAGAATATGGCTTCCTGCGGCGCCAGCCCCAATGAGGCTACAGTCACCTCCGTTGCCCGGCTGGCCGCCGCCAATAACGATGGAGATGCTGCCTTCGAGCTTGCAAAAGGTGTCGGGAATGCCGGGAGGCTTAGGACATATGGACCGGCTCTCTTTTGCTTTTCTGGAAATGGGGATGCTGATAAGGCCTATAAAGTGGAGGAGCAGATGGTATCCATTGGTCTGCAACTTGAAGAGCCCGAGCTTTCTGCTCTGTTGAAGGTGAGCATAACTGTTTCCATTGATATTTGGTATTAGAGTATTGCCATATATGTGAAATATCTATTCAAATTGAGGTTAGTAATCGAGCTAGTTCATGCTGCTCTCCAAAAAAGATATAGAGTACTTTCTTTATGCTGTTTCCTGTTAAACGTAGGCGTATAGGAAATGCATACTTTTGTTCTTATTCTTTTGATTGTGTTATTTAAGGTGAGTGTAGAGAGAGGGATTGAAGAGAATGTCTATAAATATTTGCACAAGTTGAGAATGGCTGTAAGGGGAGTCAGTGAGATGACATCAGAGATCATAGAGAGCTGGTTTAGAGGGGAAGTTGCGATTAAGTCTGGTTTACTGGAATGGGATGCAAATCAGATGAAAGAAATGATTGCACGAAATGGAGGTGGGTGGCATGGACTTGGATGGCTTGGGAAGGGCAACTGGGTGGTGCAGAGATCAAATATTGCTTCTGATGGCCGGTGTCTCACTTGTTCAGAGCTGTTGGTGTGTGTTGACATTGATAGGGCAGAAACAGAGATGTTTGCACATTCGGTTGCATCCTTAGCCATAGAAAGGGAATCCCAATCCAGTTTTAAAGAGTTTCAGGTGAGGGTATCGTCTAATTGTATTTTTTGAAGAAGAAATGCCAAATGATTTTTTTGAAAAAAAAGAGAAGATCTGCATGTAATTTATGCCTAGGATAGTAGAGTTAATATGTTCTTCTGTATTTGAATTCTAGTATCCATTTACTAGCCAATATTTTGATCCTTCTATTTATCTTTTGTAAAGGATTGGCTGGAAAACCATTCTGAATTTGAAGCTGTAGTGGACGGAGCAAATGTCGGGCTCTATCAACAAAACTTTGTCGAGGGCTGCTTCAGTGCTTCTCAGGTCATTAATTAATCTTTGAATTGCCATTTCTTTGCTACTTCAAATCATTCTATTTGATGTTGAAATGGTTACTAAGGTTTTTTTATTCATAATTTGCAATAGAGCAGCTTATTGCAGTTGTTAATCATTTGCATAATAGGAGCAATAAATGGCCCCTTGTTGTCTTGCACAAAAAACGTGTTCGGGCACTTCTTGAAAATGCTACCCACAGAGAGCTATTTGAGAAATGGATAAATGAAGGAGTGCTTTATCCAACACCTTATGGATCGAATGATGACTGGTATATTTCATCTCTGATCCGAATCTTTCCATTGAAATATTTATAATGATACGTAACCTTGCTTTGCTTTCAGTTATCTACAATGTTTTTCTTATGCATACGTGCACTAAAATCTAGGTACTGGCTTTATGCTGCTGTGAAACTCAAGTGTTTGCTTGTGACAAATGATGAAATGAGAGATCACATTTTTCAGCTTTTAGGTAGCAATTTCTTTATCAGATGGAAAGAAAGACATCAGGTTGGCATGCTTCTTTAACTTCATATCCCTCTTCTGTTCAAAACTCTTGTTGTGTTGAAGCTTTCTAATATTTCATTCATTAATTTCTCTATCTGAGTTGCCATTGTTGTGATATAGTTCTGGGAAATCTTGTTTGTTCTGTAGTGCATCAAAATGAAAAAAAAAACTCTTTCATCTGGTCATAGTGAAACATTGATCTAGGGAAGCTTCATTTTTTTCCTTTGATCCACCTATCCAGTTGTTGTCTCTTGAGAAAAGAGAACATGTAACCATGCTTTGTTACCTATTTTGCAGGTACGGTACACATTTTTGAAAGGCAGCCCAAGCCTTTCATCCCCACCCTCATTTTCCATTGTCATCCAGGTATTTGTGGTATTAGTTTTGTTTCCTCTTTTATCACTTTCCTTTTCCACCTACCTTTCTTTGTGCAAATAATTGCTACATTACTACATCTGGCAATGAGTAAAATCTCTCCCCTAAAGTTATTTATTATTATGCCCTTATAGAGTCTTGTTACCAGAAACAATCATCTTTTGATAAGTTTCCATATTTAACCGAGTTTCCCTTTCACTCTCTTGCCCTTTGGATTTCCAAAAAAAAACATTTGCTTGAAAGTTTCCACCATCCTTACATTTACCTCAGAGGATAGAGATCATATCATCATTGTGGTTAAACAAGGTCTACCATATCCCCCAAAAGGGTCATCAAGAGATGAGATTTATCTCACAAACATATACTAGATTGAAACCCTTGATGTGGGATACTGGTTGAACCATGGAAAAGGTGGAGAAATGGGCCAAATTGTGGGTGGTTGGGTGGGCGCCCTACAAATCACTACCAGACCGTACAATGCCATATAAGATTGGGTCTAACTCATCTCAAAATGATTCTCAAGAGGTTATATTTACCTCCCAATTATGTACTAGTTTCAAATTCTGTAAACAACCGATGTGTGATACTCAACAATCACAATGTGAATGCTGATTTTCTCTCTTGGTGTTTCAGGAATCTGAGAAAGGATCTTGGCATGTGCCCCTGGCAAGTGAATCTGAAGAAGAGTCTTCCAGGGCATGGCTCTGCATCACAAGACCATACTGCAAAGACTTGAATGATAGGGTACATGATAATCTAGCAGCTTCTGAAACCAGTGAAATCCCTAGCAGTGATCATCGATTCCCTGTTCCAAACGGGAATTCTGATTCTTCAAACGGCTTTAGTAATAACCCCCTGTTAATAGCTGGTAAGAGGAAAGACAGGACTTGATCTTCATTGAACTGCCTGCAATGCATCGTCTCTTGAATGCATGAAAGTTTACAAAATTGTAACCTGATATTCACATTAAAAAGTTATAGATGTGCAACATTTGAGCAAATTCTGAATAAAATCTTGAATTTTAACATATGGTCTTGAAATACAGTACTAATTAATCTGCCAATGGTCTTGAAACCATGTCCCTCTGTTATTTTACTAATTAATCTGAGAAAGGATCCTGACATGGGCCCTGGCAACTATTATCACATATACTAGTTGCATAATATTTTTGCTGATAAATAAATTCTTCATCCATC